CGCCAAGGCTTCGGATTTCAAGTGCTTGCAGTTGCTTGCAGGTGCAGCCAGTGCCACTTCGGAAGGCCACTGTGCCGCTAGGTCCAAGGCGTGTGTGGCTTTCATTGATCACTCCCGAAGCACGACTATACTCAGCCCGATCTGGGTGGCTTCCGCGTCTGACTGTTATTTCGGGGCCGAAATATTCCGAGTCACGACTTCTGGGACCGGATCACTCCCAAGGCATTCAGAGACAGTAAGCAAAGGCAGCCGATCATTCAGTTCTGCTTGGGAGTGGTAGCGACCGCGACTGTACCAGCCGATGAGACCGAGATGGCAGCAGCCACGCCAACCATGGTGTAGCGAGCTGGACAGTGGTGCGACGATCCCCTTCCTGCCTCTGGTCGAAATGCGATCTCTGGTACGTGTGACGGCAGGACTGCGGCTGCCGGAACTGCCGTAAACGCAAATGAGCCTGCGACGGTCAGCCGCTTTGTCCTTCAGCACCAAATTCACCGGTGACACGCCCCAGGCAGAGCTGGAGCGGCTGGAGCCTGGAGCTTGAATGCCGAACTCTTGCCCCGTCGGCCCCATTGATGTCCCCGCCTGTGCAGAAGGCTGTGAGCCTGCGGCGCTACGCGCTTCCAGGCCGCCGTGAGCTTCCAGGCCGCTGCGCGGCGCCCTGCAATCAGAACGTCAGTGCTTTCCTTCAGGGAAGCCCCAGGCCGGCCGGGCCGCCCGGGCCTGGTTCAGAGACTCGTGAACTTCAGTGGGCGGCCCTGATGGGCGCCGGGGCCGACCATGACGTGGGTCTGAGCTTGGTTGTTTGCTCTCCTTGTCTCGAGACGTCGCTTCGTGATCTCACATGTGGGTATGGCGCTGAGGCTCGAAGTGCGGGGGCAAGTTGCTCGAAAGATGCATGCCAGGAGGTAGTCGAGCTCAACGGCTCGAGTTGTGACACACAAACGAAAAGGCACGCATTCATGCTTACGCGGAACACGACGAAGGGTTCTTCTGCTCAGGCGTGGTACTGTAGAAGTTCTGACAAATCTACTCTGGTTGGGAGGGTGCTTAGGAGCAAGGAGTCCTTCATGACCTCCTTGAGATCTTCATGAAGCCGGCTTGTGGACCGTTGACTCCTGACCTGGGTCAGGACTCGACGTGTATCTGGGACTTTTGCATCGCCTGGCAGCTGGCAGGCCGCCAGAACACTGGGAGCAAACTGCCTTCCATGACCCGTCCTGCTGCTGTATCACTCGGACAGCCGGAAATTCTGAAGCTTCAGTGCAGCAGGGTTTTCTGGCTTTCAAGCTCAGGCTTACGAGGGTCGACAGGCCCTTTGAGGCATGGCCTGGGCGTGTTTGTACAGGAGAGCCGGTGATGCAGGGAAGTGACTAGCACTCTCTTCCGGACCTGACTCTGGGACATCGTTCTGCTTTGGCGGCTTGTCGCTCTCTGAGTGGCTGCAGGATTCAGAGAAGCTCCAGCCGCTAACCGCTGTCTGTCGTTGCTTCCGGCAGAGCGAGCATTGCTCATGCTTTACCCTTTCGGACCCCACTGCGCCCCTCTAAAAATACCCGAGCCCACCCAGATGGCAAGTCTGCAGTCGGGTGTGAGATTTTTGGTGCCGGAGCTGCGTGCACAGAGCGCTGCGCCGCTTTGAGCGTGCTTGCAGCCCTTGTGCGACAGCACGCTGTCAAAAGCCCGGGCCAACAGTTCAAAGGTGAAGCTGTTGCCGTCCTCAGCTCCTGTGCTGGGCCATGCGCTGTGTGCGCCCGTGTATCAGCAGTTCCTTGAGCCTCGACAGCCTTCGCCCCGCTCGGCGATCTTGCTTTCTCCAGCTGACGCGTTGCGCTGCTCCCGGTTAGTCTGTGAGGGATCCATGAAATTCTTCAGTGCCACTTCTGAATGCTGCAGGCACCCGCCACGGTTTGGGGTCCTCTGGATTTTCTCACCGGTTCCGACGGCAGCGATGGCCCGCGCCCAGCCCTCCACCTGCAAGCTAAGCCGGCCAAGCCTGCACGAGTCTACTAGGTCCTTTCCAGGCACTTTGCAAAAGGAGCGACGCCTTCTGAGAAGTCTTCTGAGGCCGGGCAAGGAGCGAAGTTCAAGGTCTGCACTTTGCGCTTGCGGGGTCCTGCAGCCTGTCCTTGGATTGACTTCAGGACGGCAGTTTCGATAAGCCCTCAGCAATTCCTTAGATTGGTGAAGCAAGCATCAGAGGTCAGGCTAGTGCGAAAGCTGCCAGCAGTGCGCCCGCCAAGAAGGATCCCATTCTTTCTTCAAGGGGTTCGGGCAGGGTGCAGCTGTGTTGCCTGCCTCGTCAGCTCCCTTGCCAACGCCACGTCGGACCCGTGGCCACGGTATCTGAAAGCTACAAAGCGAGCCGAGGTGGCTCAACGAGCCGGCATGTCGTGAAGGCATCAGTCGCATCCAGCACTTCTTTATGTGGCTTGGCGCGGGCTCAGGTGGCATCGGAGCCCGTACCGCCCATGCGCAATTTCTCCAACAGACGGAGCGGGCTCGAGTAGCTGCGCTGGCGCATCAAGAAGCTTCCGGTGGCGTTTGTGCGAGCTTCGAGTCGCGCAGACAGGCCCGCGACGAATGCGCCTTGCGGTGAGCCCGGGATGCCTTGTCTGATGAAGTCGATCGGAGACGTGCGTTGTGGTTGGAGGCAAGGATTCTGCCTCTTAAATTTGTCTTGACGTGCGATCGGCCCTGGCAATCCTCAGCAAACTTCCTCAGCTGCGCGCAAACGGAGCAGCGGATCTGGATTTGTCCAGTCTGGTACCCTGGACCGAATGCAAGTACACAGAAGCAAAGCCCCACGTTTCAAACCTTACTGTCAATATTCATCAGTCCGGTTTACAGGATTCAAGTGTTCCCGTCAGGGACACCAAACGCGGAATGTCAGATGGCAAGGTGGAACTGCATGCCTTTTCCAGACATTGAACACAGTAGCAGACCCGTTTGAGACCAGCCAGAGAGATTTCGTGTTCGTAGGGAAAGTCCAGAAAGGCTCTTGAAGCACGCCAAATGCCGTGCCTTTCAACTTCGACGCCTGGTTTCGGGGCTGTAAGGTCGTTGGGAGGGTTGAATTACGGGTGGGGCTGAGCTTAGAGTTCAACCGGCAATCCGCTGTGGCTCTTTCGCCGGTTCGCCTCTTCAGGAGTTAGGAAGGCCGTGTCGGTTGACAGGAGTTACACGAAGCCTCGAAAGCCGCTCATGCAGGTGATGGCTAGAGAAAGAGACCCCAAAACCTTGAACTCCTGCAAGGGATCCCTCGTTTTCCATGCTCACAGCCTGCGGCACCACGAACGCATCATCGCTGAGGCCGAGGCCATTCTGTGCATTCTCAGTGATGTATTCCGTGGAGTCGCATCTCTGAATCTCTGACTACCTGAAGCCGCGGGTTGCTCTGAGCCGTGCCGATGCCAGACCCGAGGAGAGCTCCCGCAACCAGGCGCAGCGGTGCAGCATGCACGTGGGAAGAGTGTGACATCAACGCAGCATAGTCGAGCATTCCAGGAGATCCTGCACAATGCTCATGTGGGACCCGCAGTTTGACGAGTGTGCTTCGGAGGCACTTGATAGAGCAGGGCAGCAAGCACGACATGCCGTAATCATGCGGCCGGCGCCGTCCGACAAGACTGACACGACAATCGCTGCAGTTCAGTTCACTTGTGTCACTGCCGTCCATCCCGGACTCCATCCTGTTCTGGTACCACAGAGGCACAGAAGTTCGAGCCGAAGGCGGCTGAGTTGCTCTTCGGCTCCCAAGCATCTCTTGACTCTCCATGTGCAGATGTTGCTGGCGCTGAAGGGGCAGCGTCCATAGCTGCATCACAGGGTTGGTCCGGCGATGCAGCGCATGGGCTCCTCGGGGTCCTTGGTGGCCTTGCCTTGGAGGATGGTCCCTTGTTGGCTTGCCCGCCTCGGAACCAAGATCAGTCGGGGAGCTGCCTCAGCTAAGAGGCCATCTGTTGCGGATTCAAGCGCAGACTCGCTCAAGCTGCGACTCACCCGACAAAGCTACCGTTATTGAGTCCAGAACACGGGTCACGATGATGGAGCACTCTCTGACTTTGAGAATCGATGTTCTGGGTTTAAGAAGGCTTGGCCGCTGCATTGCTTTGGAATTGGAGAAAAGGGGCGAAGATGCCCTCCTAGAGTTTCCTGAGATCTGCTCGCCCTGCTGCCTGTCCTGCATCACTGTCGATCGTCATTCTGCTTGAATGCCGGTCGTCGTCCTTCAGAGACACCTCGAAAATCTTCTTCAAAGTGGCTTTCAGCTCCCAGAGGCACCAAGCGGGTGAGCCAAGTGGGACCCCATGTCTCTGCCGAGTGAAATCTCCCTTCGTCCAGGTGTTGAGGCGCCTCGTAGCCACGTCTTTCGGACGGGGAGCATGCCTGGACTTCTTGCGGACAAGGTATTGTCGGACGGCTCCAGAGGCTCGACTTAGATGCTTCTCGTGTTCCGGGAGCTCTGTCCAGCGTGTTCCACGCTGCCGTGCGACCTGAGCACTACCATAACGGCTGCTGGGATATGCCTGCATCCAGATCCTTCCACAACCTTGACTGATTGAAGTACTCGCGTGATGCAACGAGAGTGGCGGCATGCCTTTGGAAGCTCGGGGCTCATGGATGGTTTGCCTGGGATCTGAGCTCGCCTGCGTATGGCTCCCGTTCAGGCATCCCGCTTCCCGATGACAGCGAATTTGCTGGGTTTCTGGAACTACGTCTGAAGCCTGCAGTTTTGGTCACCAGCGTGGTACAGCAACACGTGCCACAGAACTGCGTTGCAGAGAAGGCCTCCAGCCAAACCGGCTCCACAGTCTGAGAAGCTTCCGCATCTCTGGCTCCGGTTGGAACCTTCGGGGCATCTGCAGTGCACCGAGCTGTGACCAGCCTCTAGTGCGGTGCCCCATGCGCTTTCCAGCTTTCAACATGTGTTTTTCTAGCAGAGTTGGGAAGAAGGCCCGCCAAAGCCTTTGGGTCACAAGACTTGGCCAGGCCCTGAGATGTCCCCTCTGATGACCGATGCTGAGAGCGCTGCGGCCGTGGCGGCCGTGGCGGCCGTGGCTGCGGCCGTGGCGCTCGAGCGGTCAGTGGGGCTCCAAGACAGCGAGGTGTGCCATCCGCTCTCGGAGCGCCCCTATGCCAGCATCGACACCCTCAGCCCCTTGCCGTGAACGTGCTATCGGGAATCGGCCCAGCGTCGTGAAGGTGTGCAGGTGCTTGTTGCCAGGTCTTTCAGTAAAATCCATCCAGTGGCATGAAGTAAGGGCTTGATTTCCGGACACAGGGAAGCTGACGAGGCCGGGGTCGTTCCCTGGACGGTGTTGCAGGATTTGCGTTTGTGCGTAGCACCGATCGAAGGCTTGGCACATCGATCAAGCTTCGAAGCCTGTCTCGAGGGAATGAAGATCGTCGAGGCCAGCTTGGCTCAGCTTGACTGCATGAGAAAGGAATGTGCAGCTCCTGTGGCAGTTTACGCCCCATTGAGCGGAAGACCCCAGCCTCGCCTCTGCTGCCTTTTGCTGCTTGGGCATTGTCGGTAGCGGCGCAGCCTCTCCCCGACAGCAGTGACCAAGCTCTTGTCCGTACATAGGCCTATGACCCTGCAAGCAGCTAGGCAGTCTGCACTGCCATGCAAGCACCGGAGTTGCCCGACCCTGCCACCGCGCTTTCTCCCTTGAGTTTGACCTCTCGGGCTGCGGCGGTTCGGCTTAATTTCCAAGCTGTTCAAGGCGGCATGCACAAACTAAGAGCTTTCTCACCCTTCGCCCAGCAGCCCGTCCTGTCCTTCCTGAGTCCTAAGGGCATGTGTGCAGTGGACTGCGCGCATCCTCTTCCAGACGCATCAGCCAAACACGCGTTATGACCCTGGATTGGGGGAGCCCCTCGGGCGCCTACGGAACTCCGCTCCGCTCCGCTCCGCTCCGGGCATTGAGTCGCCCACAGCCTCTCTGCCACGAAGCTCAGCGCCGCTGGCCTTTGGGAAGTGACGGTGACGACATGGCTCTCTTGCGTCTGCGTGACCGACGTGTCGAAAGAACTTCCAGAGAAGAAGGCTGATTCCAGTGATGCCGTGTGCTCCGGTAGTTACACAGCGGTGTTAGATGCGATCGTTTGCTCTGATGTCACTGTCGGAATCAAGGTGCCCTCACTTGCAGGCTCCGGTGCGTAACCGCGAGAACTGATTCCCGCCTTGGTGCCTGCGCTTCATGCATTTGTTGGAGTTCCGGCTCTTCGTCCTGGATTCAGGGCAGCGGGTTCAAAGACCTGTGCCTGCACTGGTGCGCAGAAGTACTGCGAGGCATCTCCGTGGCGCGGTTCTGGTAAAGAGGCTGGTAGAAGAACTGAATGGAAGCGAGGGAGCAGTGGGAGCACGGAAGGACCTCGGAGGCCCTCGACTCACTGTGCCAAGGCGGCCAACGTCGGGTCACACGAGGGCACAGATGAAAGGCTCCGATTTAGGGTTCAGGGCAGCAGGAAGTAAGATCTGGCCCCTATAAATTGAAGTCAGCATTGGTGCTCTTGCTGGCCTCAACTCCCCAAACTTCCACCAGTGTCACCGCCTGCCAGCACAGAAACAGCAGATGGGTCAGCATCAGCGGCAGGTTCAGCGACAGTGCAACCGACAAGAAGAGCCTTAGCCTTAGTGGGTTCAGCTCACAGCCCTTTCGGTCATCTGCACAGATTGCGGTGTCTTCCGTAAGGTGAACGCTTTCCTGCGTTCTCCGGTTCAGAGCCCCGAGGCGAGGGGAGTGCTCTGCGAGGGTCCGGGCCCGGATCGGCTTTTGGACATGGCAGTCGCCACAAGTGGAGAGCGCAATCGGACCTTGCACCCTGTCGCTTCGTGAACAGGCGCAGTGTCACAAGAAGTCTTCTACGATGTCGGAAGGGACATGCTTGGCCGCCACGAACAAGTAGCTAAACCTGCACGAGTTTGCTAGGTCCCTTTCAGGCACTCCGTTTTGCAACAGGCATCACCTTAACAGCCTTCTGAGGCCGAACAGGGAAGAGAGCGGGCATGCACATGTCGGTTTGTGCCTCTCGGGTGTTGCCCTCCACGGCTTCAAAGCAACACAGCTGCGATGAGCCCCCAGCAGTTCCGAAGAATCATCCAAGGCCCGAGCTCGGGCGCCCAAGAAGGGGCCCTTTTTCGAAGGGTTTCGGGTGGAGGGCATCCGCAGCATGGTGCCTGAAAGCTGCAAAGCGACCTAAGGCAGTTGCTCAAGCCACAAGTGGATTGTCGCCAGCATGCATTTTGGGTCTTGAATTTTTGGCAGGCGCCAAGCATGTCTCATGTGGCATCAGAGCTCAATGCCCAATGTCAGCATCGCGAGAACCACGCCACATCAGCCGTGCCGACGAAGAGAGAAAATTCTTGCGAGGCATTTGTGCCCGCGTCGGGCTGTGTTGAGATAGGCGTGCAGAAGGAGTGCGAAATGGAGCGACCTGCTGGTGCAATTCAGGCAACTGCAATGAAGGCACCTTGCATGCAGACTGATCCGTCTTGATGTGCGATCGGCTCTGGCAATCCCCAGCAAGCTTTCTCAGTTGCGCGCAAACGAGGCAGCGGATCTGGATCTGTCCAGTCTGGTACCCTAGACCGACTGCAAGTACGCCGAAGCACAGCTCCACGTTTCAAGCCTTGCTGTCAACATTCATCAGTCCGGTTTATAGGATTCGAGTGTTCCCGTCACGAAATATCACGAAATCCCGAATCTCAGATGGCACGGTGTCACTGCACGCCTCTTCTGACGCCGAACTCGGACACAGCCGTTGAAGACAGTGCTGCTAGACCCTTTTTGAGATCCGCCAAAAAGACTCCGTGTTTGTAGGGAGAGCGCAGAAAGGCGCTTGAAGAACGCCAAATGCTGTGCATTTCAACTTCAATGCCTGGCTTCGGGGCTGTAAGGTTGTTGGGAGGCTTAGGTCACAGGTTGAGCTGCGCTTAAAGTTCAATCGGCAATCCGCTGCAGCTCTTTCGCTGGTGCACCTCTTCGCGACGGTTAGGAAGGCTTTGTTGATTGACAGGCATTCGACAACACCTCTTCACGATGGTTAGGAAGGCCGTGTCGGTTGGCGGGAGTTCTACAAGGCTTCGGAAGCCAGGAATGCAAGTGATCGCTCGAGAAACCAGAGAGATTCCACAGGCTGGAGGCGCGCACCTTCTAAATCGCTGTAAGAAATTTCTAGCTTCTCAAGCCGAGTGCAAACGGAGCAGCCCTGCTACCGTTGTTGTTGAGGATGGCATTAATGTTCTTCATGACGGCCATGGTGAAGAAGAGGAGAAAGAGGATGATGTGTCTCGCAAGCCAAATCCCCGAGTCTAGCATAGGTTCTTTGCATTGGTTCCAAGAACCTGCGCATTAATCTCAGGATCCATTTGGTCTTTCAAGCCTTGAGTGTGGCAGTGCGGATTGAAATTGATGAGATGGTTCGGAACGGTTTCCAACTGTTTGCGGCCGTTCTTGAAAATGGGTTTGCAAGTTCTCCGACGGTTCCTGAGAGTTGTCTGAGGGTTCCGCCTCCGTTGTAAGCAGACACATTCAAGAAGCCGCAGGAATTCCACAACCCCGCTGTAGACATTCATCAGGCCGATGTGCAACGCCGAACATCAGATGTCACAGAGTGGCTGCACCTCTCTTCTGGCACCGAAAGCAAAATTCCTGACAAGGCTTTTGCAGCGTGAGAAGAGCCGAGGCTTTCAACTTCAATGCCTGGCTTCGGGGCTGTAAGGTTGTTGGGAGGCTTAGGTCACAGGTTGAGCTGCGCTTAGAGTTCAATCGGCAATCCGCTGCGGCTTGTTCGCTGGTGCACCTCTTAGCGACGGTTAGGAAGGCCCTATCGGCGGACAGGAGTTCTACAAGGCCGCGAAAGCCACGGATCCAAGTGATCGCTAGAGAAAGAACCCCCAAAATCGTAAGCTCCTGTAGAGGACGTCTCATTTTGCATGCTCGCAGCCTGCGATGCAACGAAGGCATCGTCGCTGAGGCCGAGGCCATTCTGTGCATTCTGAGTGATGCTTTCCGGAGTCGCCACCTGATTCGGCGTGTTGCTCTGAGCCGTGCCGATGCCGGATCCCAGGACCTTCTCCATGCATTTGCATGGCCAAGGTCCGAGCAAGACTTCAGTCGCATGGCTGAGCTCCCTCGGTCCTTATGTCAAACATCATTGATGGCATGAGTACACTTGCAACCTGCACCAAGCTGACCCATTGTGGAACTTGCGCCGCAGACACAAACTTGATTTTCAGTGATTTTCAGTTCCATCATGTAACCATCAACCATGATACCGTAGGGCTTCGGTTGTCAGTACCTTGGCGGCACCTCGGCCCCTTGATAACCAAGATGCGCTGTTACTGTCAAGGCTGGCGGTAAAGTCGTTTTCGATCAAATCTGCTGCAAAGGGTGTGTGCTCGCGATGAACCCCGATGCCGTGGTACCGAAGCTCGCATCGTGGCTGGTCACGTCCCTCACGGGGAGCTGCGGCAGGGCGCAAACTGCGATGTGCGCAGCCGGAGACGATTCTAGAACTTTCGAATGCAGCCTCTGGCATGTGCTGCACACCGCCAGTACCACTTGTCGGGCACATGGCTGTCATTCGCAGCTTTCACGGCTGGAACTTGGTCATAGGCAGCGTCCCTTGCACATGCGCTTGGCTTGATTCTGGAACTGAAGTGAAACCAATCATCATCTTAAACATCATGGTACCGTAATTGGTTGTGAAGCTGCAGCTCTCTCCTGGACGTGCAGCAGGAAAGTGGTCCCGCGGAGCCTGTGTATCGGGCAAACGCATGGGCAATGCTGCACCCTACAGCGAAAGACTGGCTCGAGTTGCAGGGTGTGGGTGCGCCTCCGCACATGTTCTGGCATGTCGAAGTTTTGCGAGAGTGATGCAGCAATCTCCATCAGTGACCGTCCACGGCGTCCCTGCCTCTTGTAATGACGTGCCTGGTTGTGCCTGTATTGGCATGAAGACACCATCTTATGGCATCCCAAGCGACCCATGTAGCCTGCGCCGGCCGCGTACATGCTAAGCAGCTGTTCTCCAACCTTGCGAGTCCGAGTGAGATGGGACGTAAGCTTCCTCTTGGAGCTCGAGCTCGCTCTGAGTGCGCGGCAGGAAAATGTTGTCTTTTGCTGCGGCATGCCCGGCATGCTGCTTGCATTTGAGAGTTTGTTATTGTTGTTGCACAGGCCATGCCAGTGAGAGATGGATGAGTTTTGAGGAGTCAGTGCAGGTTCTTGGTTCTGTCTGTCTGCGCGAGTCATTGGTCTAGGTCAGTTCAGGTCCAGTCCAATCTCTCCATTCGTACTGGAACCTGTCACTCGCATGTCGTTGCATGGAATCTAACATGGGAACTGCAGAGTACTGCTCTAGGCTCTAGGTGACCGCACAGCTTCAAAGCCTCTTTCCAGAGTTTGAAGTGCAGTTTGGGTCTGGTGCAGCTCGCCATGAGAACGGTTTGACTCCTTGACGCTCCGCGGGCCCGCGGGCTCAACGTGCTGTCCTCACGGCTTCAGGTGGCGGAGGACCCTACGCCAAGAAGACCTTGTTGCATGTTGGGAGGAAGCTTGAGGCTTAGTTGAGGGCACATGCCATTCGGGACGTCAGGTTGACTTGGGAGTTAGCCCAAAGCTGACGTTACTGTAACGCCATGGCGAGCCTGCCATTCCTGCGGTCTGCCCTGTGCACGTTCCTGGGCTTTGTTGGCCTCGTGGAAGCTTCGGGAGCCCCACAGGCTTCAGATTGTGACAGCCCTCGTGCTGTGGAGCTGCTGCAGCTGGACTCGGCGCTGCAGTTCAGAGGGCAAACGGAGCTATTCTCTGTGAACTCTGCTCAGTCGCGGCTTCCGGACTGCAAGAGGGAGTTCGGACCCTTCGGACACGGGCACACCCGGATACAGTAACTGCTAAAGCACGTTTTTTTTTCTTTCAGGTTTTCAGTATTTTTCAGTGTTTCCGAGGAACTCGACCTCAACCGCCTCGAGCTCGTACTGGTACTCGGTGCGCGGTGTGGACGCGGGGAGGTCGGGCTACTGCCCAGGCGCCGTGGGGCCTTTTCCACTCCCGGCTCCTGCCTGGTCCTTGGAGGTTCCAGGCCTGAACTTCCATCAGACGGCGTTCCCGACATGATTTGAAGAGGTTTGGGAGAACACACTGCGCAAGTCTGTGTGCAGAACGGGCGCATCGTGAGAGGGATACTGCTTACGGCATCGGAATGCTTTGAGGGCTGAGATTTTTGGGCTGTTGCAGGCTTGTTCGTCGGATTATTTCCTGTTGGGTCGGGCAGTCAGAGTCCTGGAGTTTGGGACAACATGTTGACTGATGCACCACTCTCATCACCGTTTGGCAACAGTGGTAACTAGTAGCTGGAGTTTCAGCGAAGCATGAGGTCAATTTTGGCAGAAGTTGTCTCATTTTCACCGGGTTTTTCTGATGTGCAAGACGCGTTTGCCGAAATCGTCTTGCTTTAGCTTAAGCTGGAGCAATGTGATAAACTTTAGAGTCAACGGCATCAGCGTAGCATAGACGTGCTTGCAACCGCGTTTGCATTGCACAGCTTGAGCCGGCTGTATGAGAAGCGTGTTCAAGGTGTGAGCAGCACCACAGAGTGGTGGCTGGCTTTGCTATGCAATTTACGTTCATTTGTGTTTGTAGTGTCGGAAAACTGTTATCCGATGATGGTGTTCAGACGAAGGCCTGATGGAAATATCCGCTGCAGACATCTTTTAGTGATCTGTTACTCCACATTGCACTGCTTGGCGGTGATAAGGTGCAGGTTTGCATGCTGTATGATACACCTTCACCAGAAGAAGAGACAGACGAATGTCACATGCTTGGGCTCGGGCCGAACCATTTCCGTGACAGAGTCAAGTTTACCGGGCGCAGCAAGGAGAGATAGGACAAGCATACTTCGTCAGAAGCCGAACGTAGTGGCGTAGCAGAGCTTTCGGGCCACGGCGAGTCAAGGAAAACCAGCCAACTTCCTGCTTGGCTCGCCTCTGTTCCCCCTAAACCTGCCAGCCCGTGATCGACGACCTCTTGAACATCTACACCACCAGTGACAGCGGGACTATCCTCTCCTTCTCGAAGGACGGCCAGAAGCGCTGGGAATTCCAGCCGAAGAGCATCCGCTGCCAGAACCCTTCGCTGTTTGATGGCAAGCTCTACACTGCTTGTGCCAACGGTCAAGTTGTGGTGCTGCGGATGGACACGGGGGAAGAGGCACGGGGGCCCTGAATGTTGGAAAATGTTCGGTCATCGGCCTTGTGCTGCTGGGGCTCATGCCCTCAAGGTGTGGTCGCGTCAAGTGTTCGACGGCTTGCCTACGGACGCCTACACCGTCAGTGCGACAGAGGACTTCCTGGTGATCCCCATGGCGGACCCTCGGATTCATTGGCGTCCTGCCAGAAGCTCTCTGCTGGTGTCGGGAGACATTGCGGCTACTACTTCCTGCTGCCGCTGCTGCTAACCCTGCTGCTGCTACAGCTACTGCTGGTGCTGCTGGTGGTCCTATAGCTACTGCTACCACTGCTGGTGCTACCCGCTGCCGCTGCTATACCGCAGCTACTGCTGGTGCTGCTCCTCAGGATACCGGACTCGACTTTGGCGGAGCCTGGGGAGTGGCACTACTGGATCGTGCAGACGGGCGCCTCCGGTGCCTTGCTGCCTGCGTCGTCGTAGTGGTAGTGGTACTGGGTCATAGTGGCAGCAGTAGTCGTCGTCGTCGTCGCCATAGTGGTAGCAGCAGCACCAGCAGCAGCAGCAGCAGCAGCAGGAGCAGGAGCAGGAGCAGTCGTCGTCGTCGTCGTCGTCGTCGTCGTCATCACATGGTTTTTCTTTCACTTGGCTACGGATGTACATTGCGCCTCTGTGCGCCAGAATCCTCAGCCGTAACCCTGAGGTGGAGCTACAATGTTTCGACGATGGCCCCGAAGTCCTACGTCATCAATCTGGATCCATGCATCCTCAACGAGCCCTGGCTTCAGCATCACTACTAACCACTGATCATTTTGCAGTCGGCACTATACAGGGATCATTTTCATCCTCCGCCTCATCCATCCATATCACATCATCTTTATCCTTATCCTTATCTGCATCCTCTTCCCCACCCTCATGACCACCATCAGCTTCAGCTTCATCGTCATCACCAGCACTGTCGTTGGATTCTCTCCTGTCTGGCACAAGGATTAGGTTGCCCCGACGGATCCTCTGCTCCTGCAGTTGTGCTTTGTTGATTTCGGACCAAAAAACGCGTTCTCCCGCAATCTCGGTTTGACCGCGTTCGTCGGGACGCTGCTCTTGTCGGAAACTACAGCACTCCGGTTCTTCGCTGCCTTCAGCGGTCTTACCCTAAGGGTGCTCTCGGACTGCTGTTGCAGCGATGTTTCCGCTTGAAGTTCTGAAATGGAGGATATTTGGTCAAAGCGACCCATACTTCGATACATACCTTCGATGTACACCTCGCTACCCATTTTCGTGCAATTTTGATAGTTTTTGCTTCAAACTGCAGCCATGTCCCGTAGCGACCCTGATTTTCCTACTACAAAACACGGTGCAGCACCACAACATACTGGCACCAAGGCAAGAGATGAGAACCATCATGGCGAGTAGGAATAGCGACAGCTTCGGTTGTGCGTGTTCATTCTGTTGCTGTCGTCTTGTTGTTGGTCGATGCTTACCGCTGCTTTTGTCCTTGTTGCTGCAAAAGTGTTTAGTATCATTCTGATTGCCGTTTGTCTTCGATCACTGTTGCTGTGATTCATTGTGATTCTTGTTAGTACAGCTGCAGAACTGCATGACGACTTACAGGGTCATTCTAGTTTGAGCGGGGTTTAGTCTATTTACTGAGACCGTGAGACCGAAGTAGCCCGTTTCCGAAGGGGCTGCAGCCTCAAGCCTGGCATCACGGCACTTTCACCTGTCAATGGGCTAAAGACCAGACGAAGAGGGGCTCAGAAGCCAAGAACTCGAGTGCCACTCCGCAGTAGCCATGCAAGCCCGAAGACCTAAATGAGCTTGTCTTGCTCAGTTCGCTACTGTTTACTCCAGAAAACGCGGAAGCAGAAGGAGTCCATCATCCTCAGTGACACATCTGGGGGTGTCTATCGGCTGAGCGTCCAGGACAGAGAGAACTTATC